CGAAGGGTAGGACATTTCGGAGCACTCACTCTGCCCCCCTGTACTTGCCCCGTGCCACCGGAGGCCGAGTTATGTGTGGTGAGAAGAGGTCCTTGAGGGGAGGAGCGAAGATTTGAAACACCAGCTGTGAGGAACAGGGAGCAGAAGCCAACCAGGAAGTAGATAAACTTATCTCCTGTGACATGGGGCCCACCTGGCCATAGATATGTAATGGTATCTCCAAGAGTGATTGTAGTGTTTTCTTCAACAGTGCTCAGAGCCTGGGTGGAGGAAGGGAGATTGCTCAGTAGATTCTGGGTTGAGGTTGATGGAGCATAGCTGCTGGATTATTAGAAGTGATCAGCGATGACCATCCAGGCTGGACAGGAATAGAAGTAGGAAGGAAACTAACAAATATATTGAGTACCTCGTATGTGCCAGGCACCGTTTTAGACGTCGGGGATGTAGCAGACAACAAAAGATAAAATCCCAGCCCTTATGGAGTTTACAATGGCTAGAGTTAGGCGTTAAATAAAATAAATAAAATATACGACAGAGGTGGTAAGTGTCATGAAGAAAAATTAAGCAGAAGAGAGGGTAGGGAATGCTGAGCGGTAGAAGGTGGTCATGGAAGACCTCTCTGAGAAGGTGATCAGAGACTTAGGCACAGGAAACAGCAAATGCGAGGCTCCAAGGCAGGGGTAGGCTTGGCAGTATTCGAGGAATACAAGGAGGCCAGCGCGGCTGGAATAGAGCAAAGAGGAAATGGTGAGAGAATTAGAGAGTGTGGGAGGGTGGGGTTGTACAGGATTTGTAAGCTACTATGTGAACGTTGGCCTTTACTGGGTAAGATGAGAACCACCAAAGGATTTTGAGTGGCAGAGTAGTATAATCTGAATTCTCTCTTTACAAGGATCACTCTTCTCTGTGTCAGGGCACCGACTTAAAGTCTTGACAAACATCCAATCCTTATTCAGTCCACATACCCCATGAGGTTGGTGTTTTCTCTCTTTTTTTTTCTTTACTGATTAGGAAATTGGGGCTCAGAGAGATTAGGTAACTTTGCTGAGGTCACTCAGCTGCTAATTGGCAGAGCTAGGATTTAAGCCTGGGTTTGTCTGATTCCAAAGGCAACATAGATGAGGGGAAAAGGAAGCATTTGAAAGACAAGGGGTTCGCACATGTTGGAGTGGGAAACAAAATGATGATCATTATAGAAGTAGACCATAGAGTTTGGCAACTGACAGGACGTGTTGGGGAGAAATGAGTGTCAGCAGTGTACTTTGAAGCTTGCTTATCTTCTAAGAGAATAGGGGTGCTGTTACCAAAATAGGGTCATCTGGAGTAAAAGCCACGCTGGGGTAAAATATGGAGGACATGACTTTGGGCAAGGGGTGGAGGTGCTGGTAAGAAATAGTGGGACTGTCCTGTTGATCTGGAAAGAAGAGATCAAGAGATGAGGACCTAGATTCTCCCCACTGCAGTATGGTTGAAGCTTTAGAGATAGATGGATGTGTCTGTGAGAGAATCAAGGGGCGGAGCCTGAAAAGTTCCATTTTTTGGAGTAGGGAGTGGGGAGAGAGGGAGCTGAGACAGAGAGAGGGGGAGAGAGAGAGGTGGAAATCAGGTAGTGCCACAGAAGCCAAGGGGAGAGAGTCACAGGAAGGGGTGGGGATGAACCATAGAACGGGAAATGGTGTGAAGGGGGCTGCCTGTGACAGGGCAGGCTGAGACAATGGGCACATGGGATTGGCCCAAGTGGTCATGAAGTAGCAGAAAGGGTAGGGCTTTGGGTGCTGATGGAACGAGACACTAAGGCCTGCCCTGGTCAGGAGGGGAGCCGAGGCAAGCGTCCACTTGGGGCCCAGTACAGAGGAAGAAGGTGTGAAGCGTCAAAGAGGATGGGATGGAGAATAAAGGTAAAAAGGTATTCATGGAAAGATGAAAATGCACTCCTTCTGGAGATAAAAGTATTTAAATTTTTACCCTTATGGACCTGGACAAAGGAAAGATGTAAACATCTATTTTGAATCATTTCTGTCTCGAGTTAAAAAGGAGGATTAGGTGAGCACTAAACAGTAGCAACGAGCATCACATAAGCTCACCCAGTTTCTCCAGGTGTAACGGTTGTGCCATTTCAGGCCTGAGCCGGACCCACTGGGGGATGAGTCAAGTCCAGGGGCTGCTTCCCGGGGCGCAGTAAGCAGGTTTGTTTCTTCCCGTGTTAATCCAGGAGACCAAACACTGGTTTCTGCTATTTTTTTCTTCTTCTGATATCTTTAGCTTTACCTGATATCCTTACCTTTATCTGGAATAACACTCATTTTTACACTCATGAAGTGACTTTTTTTTTTTTTTTTTTTTTACTTCTGTAAGTAAAACAGCTTTGTGAGATGGCTTTTATCCTTATCAGTCTCCATATAGATAGAATGGCTTGTTTTGTAGCTATATCTGTTTATATTCTTATAATTAGACCAGGTTTATTTTCTCATGGCTAAATTTTTTTCTTTTAAGCGAGAATCTTGCCTGATACCAGTTCTCATTATAAAATAAAAAACAACCACTTTTTCATGCTGGGCTTCTTTGCATGTTTTCAGATGATGCTTTTTGCTTTTATTTTTCTGGCTTCCCAATATTTTCATCCCAATATTTTCCTTTGATATTGTGGGAAATTTCAAGCATATATAGGGAGAACAATAAAATGACTCGTCATTGTTATCATTTTCATCTTTAAACAGGTATTGACAGGCTGCCATTTTTTTGTCTTATCTGTCCCCTCAAACAATTTTTTTCTGTAGTATTAAAATAACTTTTTTAAGGGAAAGAAAAGGAGCCGTTCGCCCACTTCTGCCAGGGTTCTCTTAATAGTTGTGCTGTTACAGCCCTACGGATGTTTATTCCAGGGACCTCATTTTACTGAGTGGACGGGAATGCTGAGACGATCAGGTCTTCCTAACGGAGTTCATTTCCTCCTAAGCCTGGGAAAAAAGCACGATTCTTAAACACTAGTGTAGTTATCGCATCACTCCGTCCCTGGCACCTGCCGATGGCCTGTGTCTTAATTGAAACCTTTCTGGCACAGGACATTTTGGGACCTGAGGCCTCAGTGTCAGGTGACCAGTAGATAAGCTCTAGAAAACCAGGAAAATCCGCACCTGCAGGCGAGTGCCTGAGAGGGAGCAAACGCTGTACCACAGCAATAAGCTCACGAACAGGAATCCAAGTCCTGTTGGTGTCCATGTTTTGTTTCCGGTGAATTGCTAGGATTCGGCGGTGTCCTCTTCATCGGTGTTTATCTGTGATGACTTTAACTGGATGAAATGAAGGAAAAAGATGCCCTCTTGACTGCCTTTTTTTTTTTTTTCCAAAAGTGGCATTCTTGCTTTTCCCAGCTTGCATGGCTGCAGGGCTGCGTTGAAGTAACTGGGTTGTGACTGCATCTCGACTGTTTCAGTAAGGCCGGTGCTGTGTGACCTGATTTCCTGCCTCTTGCATCAGTCTGTTTGTGAATGTGTTCTGAGAGGTGATTAATGGGAACGACAAACACATGCCTACTGACTGAAAGTTCCTCCTGTTTCCTAAAATGTTTTTGGTTTAATGAATTGTTTGTTCGCTGCCCACAGACCACATGTGGTTTGTGTGCTTGTTGTTGTGAACACCTTATGCCTTCATGTAGGAGCCGGGCTTACAAAGCAAAGTCAAAACATGATAAGCCTCGATTGGAAGAGCTTTCTTTGTCTGAGAATCTCAACTAACTGGGAGAATTAGACAGCTGCCTGTCACCATAAGCAGAGCCCTGGAGCCTGAAACTCTGTATCCAGAATCTATCACAGTATTTGCCGTCCTTGTCCCCAGCTTTGAAGTTGTGCACGGTGTGGCTGTACAGGCCTTGGGGTTTTGATCACTGTGCCATCTCATGCCTGTGGATTTTAGCTCTGTTACAGACTCTTGTGTCAGCGTCCCCTCACCCCACCTCCGTCCCCCACAAGGAATCAGGGGCTGTCCTCTGGATTTGTGCCCAGGAGAATCTAGGGAAGGAGAAATTCTGCCATTTTTGAAAACTGCAGCTGTGATATTGACTTTGAGAAAAATTTTTTCTCAATTTAAAAAGTAATTCCTACTCTTGTAGAAATTTGGGGAAATAATAGAAAAGGTGGGGGAGTCACTTATATTTCCAATAGAGAAAACTTATAATTGGCTTTTCTTGCCTCTGCATCTAGTTTTTCTATGTGCATTGAAGATTTTCTCCTGAGCTACATTACAACTCTATGTACAATGTTATCTTTTTTTCCAGAACATAATAGTATAAAGGTTTGAACATATTATAAAGTTTTATAAGCCCTTTTAGATGCCTTAATTTTCTGCCAAGTGAACATTCGTAATTTAATTATATTATTGAATAGTTGAATCGTTTGTAATAGTGCTGCGAATATCTTTGTACAAAAAGCATTTTCTATATTTTGTGTTATTTTATGCTAGATTTTATAGAAGTGGAATCAGTGGATCCATTATAGAAAGGGAGTCAGGAGAATGAACACATGAAAACCCTGAGATGCCATATTGCTGCCTTGACAGTGTATATCCATCTACCATCCGATCAGATTCTCATCAACAGCAAAATTGATTCTTAAGCCACAGTTTTGCTTTCCTAATGGGAATATCTAGCTAGTACCACTCCAAGTATTTGGCAAGGTGATGGTTTAGGTTTTAAACGTCCTTGATATGTCAGATAGTGACACAGTAACCCACTGTCCACTGTGGGTTGTGACTGGTTCTTCATTCTATGTCCATCTCCAAGTTATCTGCAGTTCCATTCTGCTCTCGGTTCCCTCTGCAATCTCAGTAACAACTACGAGAGCTTACATTCGCATCTTTGTGTGTGATTTCTAAAGTGCCTTCACACACATTATCTCATGTAGGTAACTTGAAGTTATTGGTACAACTCGTGAATTGGAACTGTCTAAGAATCTTGATATTTTAGAGTCTGTCTGATGATGCCTTTGTTGTTCTCTCGCAATCAGATCCAGTTCTGCAGGTTCCAACCCACGTTGAAGAGTAAGTTTTCTGATTTGTACTTTCCTTTAATTCATTTTCTATATTATTCAACATTTTCTATATTATTCTATATTATTCAAGCTAGTTGCTGGGAGTACAGATATGCATACATTTAAGGTATAACGAGAATGGTTGACACATAGGAAGTCTTACAGGTGCTGTGGTGAAAATGCGTGTTGGGGAGAGGGTAGTCGCTTCCTTGGGGGAGGGAGGCAGTGGTATTAAAAAAGCTTATTTGAGATGGAACTTAAGTTGAATTTTGAACTTAAGCTTCCAAAGTCCTCAGGAGAGCCTATGGGTGTAGATCTCTCCTCCTTTACTGTGTTATACCATGGAGAGAAAACACAGACGTGACCTGCTACTAGACTGCGTATGTTAGAATAAACGTTGGATAGCACCTATAAAAGCCCTAAATAATAGTATATACTAAGTAGAGACTAAGCGACTAAGCGTTGTCTTCAGCGGGTTAACTTGCCCAAAGACCATCTGACATCCGCTTCGTGGGGAATGACCGAGAGACCTTTATCCATCTGCTTGGCAGGTTCTTTCTGATGTCAGGCTTTCAGCGTCTGCTTTTATTGCCTCTGGTTTAAAAATAAATGTTTGTTGAACACTAAAGGTAGATTTGTTCTACCTATTTATGTACCGTGCCATGCTATTAACTATTAATTGTTGAAATTTTATACACAGTTGGCTTGGAAATTAAAAAGCAGATTTGCTGGTCCTTTTTACTTATTTTACCTTCATCCAGAGTGCTTTGACCTCATGATAACTTACTCTTCTATGATGTTTTACTATTTTTCCTTTGCAGGTTGCTTTTTTCCACTCAAGTATAGTATATACCACCACAGGGATATTTTATTTGTGGGCAAAGTGGAAGAGCAGTGGGTGGAATAGTCTTATACACACACATACATGCATCGAACTTTCCCCTACTCCCCCGATCATGGCTTTGCGTGGCTTTGATATTTTATTCTGTGCCCGGGCTCTAATTTATCATTGATACTTATTGCTTAATTTCTAGACCTGCCTTCCTCCCAGATCCCAATGATGGCAGCCTGTACACACTTGGGGGCAAGAATAACGAAGGCCTGACGGTGAGTGTATTTAGGTGCTTTGTGTACTCCAGAGGTTCCAGACAGTGATTCTCAACTTCCGTATGCAGAGATCACCTGAGAGCTTAAAATACATTCTTGGGGAGTCTGATTCAGGTGATATGGAGTGGGGCCTGGGTATCAGTATCTTTTCACAGCTTCCTAGATGAGCTTTTAAACGGCAGCCAGAGTTCAGAAACAGTGGTCTAGACCAGCAAGTTCTCATGCCCCAGCCAACACACCGGAAGAGTATGATACTCCCTTCAGTAATGGGGTGTACTCTAACGAGTGAGTCTCAAATTGGTGGGGCGGGGGGCGTGATTTGAAACACTGCCTGCCTCGCAGTAGGCGTCCCCTCGTAGTGGGGCATATGGTATTCCAGTTCCATCTCCATTTGAGAATCTAGACCTGTGGTTCTCCACCTTAGGTATACATTATAATAACCTGGAGAACTCTAAAAAAATACTGATTCTAGGTCCCGGTTTCTAAACTCTCCATTTAATCAATCTAGGTCATCAGGATTTTAAAAAAGCTCCCCAGATAAGAGAATTTGGAAAGAGGCCCACACATATGGCCACCTGATTTATGACAAAGGTGACACTGCAGTGCAGAGGGGAAGGTTAGTCTTTTTAATAAATGCTACGAGTCAATTGGGATACCCATATGGAAAAAAAAATCTTGACTCCCACCTCACACCAGACACACGAAACTCAGTTCCAGATAGATTGCATGTCTAAATGTGAAACAAAAGTTTAAGAAAAAAAAGTAGCAGAACATCTTCAAGGCCTTAGAGTAGGTAAAGATTTCTTAAATAGGATATTAAAAACAAAACAAAGCAAAATACCCCATACTAACTGTAAAGGAAAAAGATGATATATTGGATTATATGCAAATTCAGAATTTCAGCAGTAATGTAATGGCTATGTGTAGAGCCAGATGAGCAATAGAGTAATTGGGGAGATCATTTCATAAACTATGTAAATGTCTAACCAATGTACTGTATACTTGAAACTATAATAAAATGCTTTAAAAAGTTTTTTTAATTTCCCTGATGGCAAGTGAAAAAAAAAAAATAATTTTCCTTCTTTAAGAGACACCATTAAGAGAGGCAGAGCACAGTGTATCCACGGTATGCATATCCAACAAAGACTCACGTTCAGAATGTATAAAGAACTCCTATGGATTATTTTAAAGAGACAGACAACCCAATAGAAAATTGGGAAAAAAAGATATTCGAGTGGGCAATGAACATATGAAAAGGTCCTCCGTTTCATTAGTCGTTAGAGAAATGTAAATAAAAATCACAGTGTCATACTACTACCCATTCGTTAGAATGGCTAAAATGAGAAAAATGGAAAAAGAAGCAGGTACTGGGGTGAGGGGAGCAACCAGAGCTCTCGCATGTGACTGGTGGAAGTGCAGATTGGTGCAGCCAGTTAGGAAACTGTTTGGCAGTGTCTGTTACAGCCTTATGACCCAGTGACCCCTTCCTAGATAATATACCCAGCATAAATCGATGTGTGCATTCACCGAAAGACATGTACCCAAGTGTACTGCAGCACTGTTTATAATAACCAAGAACTGAAAACTACCCAGATAGCATCAGTAGTAGAAGGGTAAATGAATTATGGAATAGTATACAGTTTAGTAGTCTACACCACAAAGACAGCCTGTGACTTGTCTGCATCTCACCAACATAGGGTTGGACAAAAGATGACAAACGAGAAAGTCTACACAGTGAATGATTCATTTCTGTAAAGCTCAAAGACGGGAAAAACTAGTCTATGATGTTCTGAAGTTAAGGTAATGATTACCCTGGGGGGTCATGATTGGAAGAGAGGTCAAGAAGGGGCTCTCAGAGTTTCTTCACCTGAGTGCTGGTTACATGAGTACGTTCACATTGCAAAATCTAACCGAGCTGTACGCTTACGTGAGCTTTATTTGTAAGTTCTGCTTCAGTGGAAAGTTTAAAAAGTCTGCAAGTGATTCTCATGTGCAGCCAGGGTTGAGAACCACTGGTCTAGACTGTAAGTGGCTTATGAGCTCTCATTTGGGTATTTTTAAATTATTTGACGAATACCTGGGACCAAAACAGATGGGAGGAGAAGGGCAGGCCTTGTGTAGAGGTGTATGTGTTTCACCTTCAACATTTCTCTCCACATTAGGAGAGCCTCCATTTCTGAAGCAATTTGTTAGCAACTGGGTTGAGCGATTTGTATACGTTGTCTCATTTGAACCTCTCAGCAGCCCTCTGGTGTAGAGGTGTCCCCACAGTAGAGGTATGGAAACTGCTCCTGGTGAGGTTAAAGACCTGCCCAAGGTCAAAGCTTCAAGTATTGGACTTGAGACTTGAAGAGCTAGGATGCTCTGACCACCACCCCACGTGCCTTCCTGCAATGTGGTTTAGCAGCTCCAAGGAACGCTGTGTTTCCAGCTTGGGCCCTGAATTGGGAGGCTCAGCAGACATCGCAGAACTCCAGGCTGGGACTCCCTGCTGGAAGCCTAGTAATGACTTTCTGATTTCTCAGAACCATCTGGCAGAAACCCAGTCATGACAGCCTCTCTGTGGCATTTTTCCTTTTCTGAGGCTTGATTTAAATGTTGGGGTGATGAGAAAACCCAAACGATTAATTAAAGTTCTGTTTATTCAAGCTAGAGAGAAATTTTATCTTCCTTGGAGAAAAAAAAAATGTGGCAGTGTAGTAGAAGCAGGTATCTACAAAACAGTTTCAGGAACACAGAAGTTTCCAAAAATAAAGTATACTGAAACAAACGGTCACCAGAAGGCATCAGATGTCAGCTGTAGACTCAGAAGAATCGGTCTTATGATGAAATGCAGCTGAAATACGTGTATTCCTTTGAGTTTCTTTTCCTGGCGCCTACCATAACTTCTTTTTAATACCAAAAGGTTTGATTTTCCCCTGTTTTCAGTACAGAATTATTTACCGAAGAAAACATCAACACTTCTTTTCCGTCTCAAACTCCTAAGTGGCCCACATAGCGATGACTTCTACTTCTCGAAGCTTCCTTCGGCTGGGCACCAAGTTTGCCTCTCTTCAGAACTGATCTCATGGCTCGTTCCTACTCTGAAAAGCATTGACATTTTGCTCAGTCTAGCTGGCTCTGGGTCAATTTTCCAAGACAGGAGAATATCTCCTGCCCCCTTAGAATTTCAAAGATCGTGTTAATGCTACATATTTGTGTCTTTTCGGAAAAGGTTTATGTCATCCTCAGAGGTACTCTTTGGGAAAAGAGACTTTGAGAGGAGTTAGCGTTTAAGTGCCAGGGACCCGGGAGCCGAGGGCTTGTCCAAAATGGATATGGAAGCCAGGGGCACCCCTTCTCCTCGGTTCCCAGTTAGGACAACTCCCATTTACCATCAACAGGGCTTCTCTCTTT